AGGCCCTCTTGGTTCCTCAAGATCTTGGATGCTGGATGGTAGACTGAACAGAGTTCTCCAGAGAACCCCGCTGGACTATACCTCACCTCTCCCAGATCCTATAATCAACCCCTTTACTGGCTGTAAGTTACCCCAAAATAAACCTCCTTTTTTACCTACATGGAGTTGCCTTGTTAATCCCCACAATACTGTGAGGTAAAGCAAGATGGTGGGACATGACTTTCTGATGCTCTTCCTCCCATAGAAATATCAGATTGAACAATTACCTACCTCAGAAATAACTTCACCAGGCCTAAGAAAGGCAGATGAGTGATTACACAGCACATCTGTGTAGACTGCAGGTAAGTTGAGATACAAAGAAGAGGTTAAGAAAGAAAATCCTATGCTACACACATGACCCTCTCTCCAACCCCAGGCAATGCAACTTAGAGACAGATGCCCTCTGCTTAGAGACAGGATAGGGAATGAGTCCACAGACACAAATGCTAGACACACTCCAGGAAAATCAGTGTGAGGACCAGATGAGCCCCCATCACCTTAGTCTCCAGGTAGGTACAGAGGACTGCAGTTAGTCTGGTCCAGTAGCCCAAGATTCTATACCTTCCCTGCAACTCAGTCTCTTATGCACTCCACACCAGACTAGCCTCAGAGCCTTAGGGTACAAACTCCCTGTAATACCAGGTCAGAGACAATAGACTCAGCCCCTATGATGTCTTGGCCTCTAGGCCTACTCAGCACCAGGCCAGGCTTTGTGTCCCCAGACTACAGGCTAAGTAAGTCCCAGTCCATACCAGAACCAAAAGGCCTCCACATAGGAAAGGAAGTTAAGATACAGACAATGTGCCCTTATTGACAGAAAACCCTAGAAATGCCACTAAAATGATACAAAAACCTAGGGATGATTAAATTCAGTAAAATTAAAGATATAAAATCAATACACAAAACCAATGGTATTTCTACACACTATTACAAACTCTCCAAAAGAAAAATCAAGTTCACAGGACCCCACACTTAGATGAAGGTCTAGAGGTAGACAATGGTTATTGAAGTGGGAAGGATCAGTTTTCTTCAGAGATGAGCTCCCTGATAGGTTGTGCAGTCATAAATGGACAGTCCTAAACACATGTACATATAGGCAAGACTATTTTTATTCTGTAGGGTATGTGCTGTGTGTGTGTCTGTGTGTGTGTGTGTGTGTGTGTGTGTAAAACATAACAATAATTGTAGAAGAGGTCATGAACTCAAGAGGGGATTGTTTGGGGGAGACATAGAAGGAACTGTAAATGAAGAGGAAGGGGTAGAAATGATTTAAAGACAATGTACCCATGTATGAAATTCTCAAAAAATTAAAATTATAAAGGGAAAACAATCCTATTTGTAATGGCTACAAAAAATAAAATATTGAGTAATAAATTTAACCAAGATGAATTATATATACTCTTAGACCTATAAAGTATAAAAAATTAATGAAAGAAATTGATTAAAAACACAAATAAATGAAAAGATATCTCATATTCATGGACTACAAGAATAAACATTAAAATGCCTGCAGTACTCACAGAAATAAAATGCAATGCTTATAAAAATCCCAATAACATTTTTTCAGAAAAATAAAAAAATCCTAAAATCTGTGTGGAAGCACATAGCACCCCAAATAGCCAAAGTAATCTTAAGCAAAGAAGAATGAAGCTCTAGCCATCACAATACCTGGCTTCTAAATAAGCTACGAAGATATCTAGATATCTAGATATCTAGATAGATAGATAGATAGATAGATAGATAGATAGATAGATAGAGATAGATAGAGATAGATAGATAGATAGACAGATAGATGATAGAGATGCGTGTATATCATTTAATATGTAATATATGTGTATTGATTGTATAGTGTAAAAGGAATAGCATATAGTGTAGTGGAACAGAATCAGATCCCAGAAATAAAAGTACCCCCACCAAGAGTCAGTTGATTTTCAACAAAGGTGCCAAGAATATACAATGGGGAGAAAATAAAACTCTTCAATGATCAGTGGTAGGAAAACTGGATATTTGCATGCAGAAGAATGAAAATAGACCATTACCTCACACATTCAAAAGTCAACTCAAAACTAATTACTTAACTGTATAGCCTGAAACCATAAATATTTTAGAAGAAAGCAGAACAAAAGGTGTTATGCTGAACTTGACAAAGATTATTCTCAAATAGAAAAAAATAACATCATAAATTTATTGCAAGGGCTGACTTCAAAAAACACAGAAAAAATGATAAATTGACAAATCATACTGTATCAAACTAAAATATTTCTGCTCAGAAAGAGGAGCAATTAGCAGAGAAAGAAGGCAAGTACAAAGTGTGTAAACATATTTACCAACCACTCACTAGATGAGAGGGTAATGTCATGAATGTATAAGGAACTCAACTGTAAAACACATATAGCCCACTTAAAATGCACAGCACACTTAACAAGCATATCTTAAAAGGTTTATAGGCCAAGAGATATGTGAAAAAAATGCTCAATGATACTAACTGTCCAAGGAACGCAAATTCAATCTACAATGAGTTGTTAACTCACCTATGTTAAAGATCACCACTATCAAGAAGACAAGAGATAACAAGGTTTGGCACAGATTTGGAGAAAAAGGGAACCCTTGCACTGTATCATTGGGAATGTAATTTTGTTTAGCTGTTACAGATAATGGGAGGCGGTTACCCCAAAGAATTAAGAGAACTGTCATATGATCCAACAGTCCCATTCATTATTCAAGGTATAATGAGAGAAAATAAAATGAGTGTGCCACGGCCTGTGTGCACTTTCCTACATCACAGCACCATTCACAACAGCAAATATGTAGTATCACCCTAAATGTCAGCCACAGATGAATGAATGAAAAAATAATAAATATATTCTATTTTCATTTTCAACATTATTACATAACTATAAATGTAATTGGAATACTATTTGGGATTTTTAAAGAAGGAAATCCTACCATTTGAAGCAAAATAGAGGAACCTGGAGGGCATTTCGAAAAGTAAAATAAGCCAGCTACAGAAGACAAATACTGCATGATTTCACTTACGTGTAGAAACTTAGAAAGTGAGGCTCATAGACCAAGATGGTAAGGAGCAAGGGAAAAGAGAGGATGTTGGTTAAAGCATGCAAAACCCTTTACAATGATGGAGTAGGTTTTTGGGATCAATTCTATACATGCTGATTACAGCTCATATATGTTGTATATTTCAAATTTGCCAAGAGGAGATTTTGTTTTCATTGCAGAAATGATTTAACCATATGAAATTACAGCTATATTAAGTAGCTTAATATAATCATTCTATGACATAAATATATACTAAAATATCACAATGTGTTCCACAAATGCATATAATTGTTCCTTGTCGATTAAAATAAAAAGTAGAAAAGATAGTTGGTTTCCATCTGAAGTTTGACACAAGTCTGTTTTACAAACGCAACAAAGAAGAGCTTTACAAACTTTCCACAGTTCTACTAACAACGCTCAAAACACACCAGACTTTGAAAGGAAGTCATGATCTGTAAAAAAATGCAACAAAAACAACAAACAAAACCCAAGATCCCATGAACTGGTAACAACAGAGGACAAACCACAATCTAGAAGAAATTGTCCTTAAACATTTGACCCCAGGAATCTGTTCTGTATATAACTCATCCACGGAAGTAGTAGTCGGGTTAAGCACATCTCCTGGGTATGTGCTGGGACCTCAACGTCAAATGCACAGGAATGACCTAATCCGCAGGAGTGAAACAGGGAAGCCTTAAACTGTAAAAAGTGGGAAAGAGGAGACCGTTTGCAGAGCCAGGTTCTAGGTAATGCCGTGTGTGTGTGTGTGTGTGTGTGTGTGTGTGTGTGTGTGTGTGTGTGTGTGATATCACACTGTGCGCTAAACAAAGAATGGCTCTGAGCCTGCCAAACTCCAGTAAAGAAAGTCTATTTTAATCAGATTAAACTGAACCCCTTTGCCCATTTCTCTTTATGGAACATGTTCATTCCTTGGGCCATCTACTTTTAGACACCTCATTATCAACTCTTCCCTTTATTCCCTATTTTGTGAGAAGAAATCAGAACGTCCACAGTTTCCAAGGTAAAAATGAATATACTAAATTTCATTTTCTAGGGACTAGAAAGGGGCTTCTGTCTACTGAAGTTCTACATCAACCATAATGAAGCTGTTTCATGAGAGAAACAGGTCACTGATAGAAATCACGTTTAAAGCAGATTACCTGGAAACATTGACCTCTTAAACACTACAAACTGAACTGTAAAGCAAAAGTATCGTGGTCTCATTTCCTATCTTTAAACATGATATTTAATAGCTAACATTGGTCTAGCCTCTCAAGGGACTTCAGCTTTCAATTTAAGTTTACTCAAGCACACTGGCAGGGCAGAGGAAGTGTATGCAACCCAGGTACATTCTAGGTACTACAGCATTCAGTATTATGGGAAGGAAAATTTTGCTCAAATAGTGAAATCTTACACCAATCCTAGGGTACAGCATTGTCTTAGTTTAGGCCCACAGACTGCATTCAAATATTAATGTATAGTCAATGTTTGAAAAATTCTATGAATTTCTATACATGTATAGCTGATGATTGAGAAATTATATACCATTAAATTCCCTGATCGATATGAAAAAGTTTTGCTTATATATTTAAACATCATGGATTTAAAGGGTCCTTTTCTTCAGTCACTTGCATTTAGATGGAATACAACACATTCCTCCATTCCCCCACATTAACAAATATTATAGCCAGAACTTACAATGGGATTATAAAAGCAAATCTTGGGAAGGTTTCTTGAAGCAGGACTACAATTATGTTAAATGTGCATTCACATGAACAAAGACCAGAATGTATTATTTAAATGTACAAAGTAATATTGGACAAGTTGAACTGCAGGTGTTTTTTTCATTTTGTAAAAGTGCATTAAGGGCAAATCCAATGAAAATTCTTTAAATCCCAGGTACTTACCGTCGTTGGAAAATAACGACTAGTTTTGAATTTTTTCATAGCCATTGAAGAGGTGTAAGTGCCCAGGAAGAGGATGAAGGACATGAGTGTGATATCAGGAACAAAATCACAGTTGTTTCCCACAAGCTTTCCTCCATACTTCAAACACTCCTTCTTTGACAGATAGGCCCAGTCAAAGGTAGCGTTATGGTACTGAAAATAAAACAAGGATTTTTTTTAGAAGAGAATATTGACACATCTGAAGCAGCTTCTCATACTTGATGGGATCTAGATGGACTGCACCAGAACCACTATACACCAATCTGAACATGACCACTGGAGGATGCAGTACCCTGACGAGGCCTTACTAGAGTGACAGGGGATAAAGAAGCCAGCAATCATGAAGGGCACAATGAGAGGGATTATGCAGTGTGTTATGCAGTTTGCTCTTCCCTCTTACAACCAGCCATTTGTTTAACAGTCACAAACCACAAAGTGCTTCTTTCCTGCCAGCCTTCCTGTGGGTCAAATGAGACACATTAATATCCTAAATCTCAAAATGTGAGAATTCAGAAACACCTTAATTGTTCACAAAGTACTTACTTGTATGTACCTGGGTCCATCCTTATGGTACTATCAATACTCTAAAAGGTAACTAACACACAAGTAGGTAGCTCACCTCACCTACCTTACAGTACTACCAATACTCTAAAAGGTAACTAACCCACAAGTAGGTAGCTCACCTCACCTATCTTACAGTACTACCAATACTCTAAAAGGTAACTAACCCACAGTAGGCTATTTCTTACCATAATAAGTGCATCCTAGTGACTGAAGAAATGATACTATCAAAGTGTTCACGGTCCCAGACTTCTCAGCGGCAAACCTAATACAATATAGCTTTCTTCTTGTTGACTACAGGTCAGCACTTGGAACACACGTGAGTGGAATGGCTGTGATACCTCTGCACCGCTTCGGCTGTGTGAGAGATCTCCAGTCCTGTGTTCCCATGATCTCAAGCACACAGGTCAGTTTCTTGTGTTGCTGGCCTGTCATCAACACCACGTGTCTTTCTGGCCACTCGGCCACTCCCTCTATCTTCTGTATCTAATACAGAGGCGAATCCTCTTGCTCATGTCATGGGTAGACCTGTGCGCCCACCTCAGCTCCTACCCAACCACAGCCGGCTGCTTCTCTGCAAGCTGCCCTTTGTCATGCAACAGCCACCTTACCAGTTACTGCCTAAGCCACCTGCTTCTGTTCAGAGACGGGGCAGCCCTTTGGCACAGACTGTACTCCAGAATTTCAGAATCAGGCTGAAGCTAAACTCAGCTGAGACACATCCTTGTTCACAATTGACCTGTCCTGAACTGTTTTTCTTACTCAGTCTGAGGCATACTCTCAACTAGTGCCATACAAGTGAAATCCCCGTATTAGAATCTACTTCTAAAACAGTCAGCTTACTTTACTGATAGGACAACTACAAGTCAATGGCCTCTAAGTCCCAAGAACTTTTTCTAGACTCTAAGAGTCTGACGGAAACCTCTAAGCGATTTCAATACGTTTCTCATCTTTAGTATTCAACAGTGCAGGGGTGAATGCTCCTCCGATGCTTGATGGTTTTCTGTGATAAAGTTACTTGGTGGTCCATTCCCTTATATAAAAGAATCTCTATGCAGCTATTTCTTGTATCTGAGCCTTATTCAATAATTACCCTTTAAGTATGCTGGTTTTGCTGTACAAAGAGCATGTGTTCATACTGTGGCAGCAATGGCTGTTTCCTAGACTTATATTCCCAGAACCATCTCTGCCTAAATAAAAGTCAACATGATTAGTGGAAATGATTGAGTATCTCATCTGAGAAAGTTTCTAACTACCTTATAACTTGTATCTTCTTGGGTTCCAGGCTAAGAGGACATTGTATGATAATGAGAGTTACTTGGAAATACCTTACAAAAAAGTGTGGAATGATAAATTTCTGTTGTCCTTTAAAGGAAAGAATTCTATGTCACATCAAATAAATCAACATCTTTTACCATTCTAGGAATTCTCTTGATATCAGTGGTCCAGTCTGGCCAGAAAGGGAGGAGGTTTTCACAGAACTCAAAAGGCAAAATGCCTGTCCAAGGTATAAAAATCAACTCTAGATTTTCACTTGAAATATTTTCCCGTTACCTCCAGTTGTAAACAGTTGAACTGCAGAACTGCTTTTATCGAACTCTGCAAGGTGATTAATCATGTCTTGTGTTGTTTTTTTAGATTTCCGCATATGGATGCTTTCAGGAGAATAGAGCTAACGTTTAGAGGTCATAATTGGTAGCATATTTCTTTGCTTTAAAAATCAGCAAAACTGTGGCCTAATTTCACATCAGCAATGTAACATCAGCAGAGTCCTTCTCTGTAGCTGGAATTCCCCCAGGGATGTAAGATACACTGGAATAACCCCAACAGGAATTTTTAGCCATCTTCTAACAAACACTCAGGTTCAGGTGAAAATGGCACAGATATAGATGCCAAGATGGTTAGCTTAACTTCCATCCGTCAGTTCAAAATGGCAATGCCAATGTTTTAAAAGTGCCAGATGAATCTGTTATTGTTATCTGAAAAAAATAACCTCCAAATCCCATCTACAACTAACGTCTCACATATAAACGTTTAGGCAACTGGCATATATCTTAACGTAGGTAATTTTCCAAAATAAAAAGTTTATGGCTTTCATAAAACCTCAAGTATAGCTGACAATCAGTTCAACTTAAAGACCACAGAAAACACATCTATATGATTTGTGTTATTTCCATTATTTCAGATAAGCTAATGTTAAGTGAAGGTTAATTCCTTACGACTTCAGATAGAATCTATATCATGAAGAAATGCATCTGGAGCCATGACTACTACCTGAGTTCAAGTCCCCAGTGTCTGCTGTGGGTTAATTCAGGAGACTTGGATCACACTGCCACTGTCTTCTCTCTTTGTAGGTGTTTCTCATATCTATGATTTTCATCTTTATTTCTTATGCAAAATACTCTCTGGTCTTTAGGAATAGGACAAATGAGAACATAATCTCAGAAATCTCTGACTGTTAGAATTCTCACATCACCTCTTTTTTCTTAAGATGCTTATAATTTTGCATAGCAGTTATATTGCAGCCCACCCTCAATGATTAGTGAATTTGGAAATCCTTGGAAAGATGTCTAGTGGATGTAGGAGTGATGTCAAGACTGGAGACATCAACGGCAAAGAGCTGACCTTGGAGTAATGGCTCAAATACCACTACAAATGTACTGAATGAAAACGTGTAGAGCACCCAGTGTGTCCATGAGGGAGGTGAGACACCACAGAAGGCAATGGGTAGAGTGCGGTGACAGGTGAAAGCAGCACAATGGGCTGAGAAATGAGCGGGAGCGAAAAGCTTCAACGGCAATTTCAGACTTTTTAAAACAAAATACAGTGACAAAGGACATTCGAGAACACCAGAGCACTGCACCGTTTTTAATATGAGTTTCTCAGGGATGGCAAACACAAAATCTGTTCCTGGGGGATGAGACAATACAAACCACCCAAACTCAACTACTTGTGGAGATGAAGAGGAAAAGGGGGTAGTGAGAAAATCGAGAATGGGGGGAAAAAGACAAAAGAGACAGACACAGATGCTGACTGTGGACTGGGCAAAATCTACAAATGATAAATTGGACAGCCAAAGGATCAATAGGACTGTGTACACAACAGTACGAAAGAGAGAGAGAGAGAGAGAGAGAGAGAGAGAGAGAGAGAGAGAGAGAGAGAGAGAAGAAGAAAAGAGCAGGGTTCAGTGTAGGGTATGGCAGGCACCAGAGAGGTCCTATTAACTGAATGAATAAAGTCCTTCATCAGGCCTGGAGTATATGAGATAGTCAAAGAACTGTGTCAGTCCTCTGTGCAGAGGATAAAGTTAAAATAAACATTCAGTTTTAAATGACCAGGCAAAATACAAGATGCTCAGTTAACACTCAACCTTAACAATGACTATTTTCAGTGTAAGCATGTCCTATGCAATATTCAGAACATATTCACACTAAAATTATTTAATATTCACCTGATATTCAAATATAATTGAATATTCCATATTTTGGTTCTTAAATCTGGCAATGCTATTTCATTTAGTTATAGGATATTTTGAATAACAAGAGCCAGTAAAAAAATTTTTAAAAAAATTGCCACAGGGAGACCAAGAATGCAGTGAACCCAAATACATGAATGAATTCATATAAGCTTTAAGGGAGTAAAGAAGATGAAAGAAACAGCAACAATGTTCACAAGTTTCCTTAGAGAAATCAAATGTTTGCTTGGAAATTACTTAATAATATAAGGCGGTAAAAAAACTGTGTAAGTGCATGGTTAGGAGAGCGGGGGAGGAAGCCAGCTATAACACTGAGTACAGAGGAGACGGAATTTACACCGGGCCCCAAGAGCGGGACTGGTCTTAAAGCCCTCTCCTCCTTCAAAGGTAGTAAGAAAAGCAGGAAGCAAAGATAAGAAGTAACAGGGAATATGGTGATATTTTATTTGTATTAAAATGTTATTTGTAGGTTAATAAATAAAGTTGCCTGGGGGTCAGAGCTATTAGCAACCCATAGGAAAGCAGGGCAGTGGTGGTGTACTCTTGTAATCTCAGCACTTGGTAGGCAGAGCTGGGTAAGTCTCTGTGTGTTCAGGGATACAGCCATTATTGGATACACATGCCTTTAATCAATACCAATCATGGAAAACCTGGAGGCCTATACAGACAGGCCGTGAGGAGGCAGTCATGTGGTTGGGTTTACAACCAATGAGAAGGCAGAACAGGAACTCTATATAAAGACTTTAACACAGGGGTATCTCTGGTTCGGAGAGGTAGGACCACCGCAGGAGGAAGGGTAAGGTTTTAGCTCTTAGCTCTGACCTCTAGGCTTTCTTCTTTGCATTGGTTCTGTGTTTCTTATTTAATAAGAAGGTTGGTTACATCTACAAGGGAACGAAACCAACGGACGAGGAAAATGAGCAGCAGACTTTGGTGTGCCTTTCTTTATGTCCTGGCAGACACATGGGAGAAAAGTTAGACACTGTGAGCAGAGATGCTCACATGGAGACACACAGAGCCCTGCTTTAAGAGCATATGAGTACTCACCATGGAGGAGCCCTTACCAGTGGTCAAATGGGGTTAACTACAGTGTGTAAAGGGGTAGCAAGGACAAAGGTTTATAGAGAGAACCAAGCAGCTGAGGATTTTGAGAAAGAACAATCTCCTGGAAAGTAACATCAAATCATTTTTCTGCATCTCATTTTCAAGAGACTTACCCTGCTTATACTAAGTGGATTTGACCACAATTCTTAAAAATACAAGGATTTTCTTAAAAAAATAAAGTTCCATACTATCTCCTCCCAAGAAAAGTAGGAAACATAAGACAGGATGCACAAATGTGGGCCATCGTTGAGCCTTGGTGACAAATCACTGATACATGTGGCAGTCCGTTTTTCTCTTTGATTTCAGTTCAGTACATATCTGAAGTTTCTACAACATATTTTAAGGTAAGAACATGTGTATCTTTAAACGTATTTAAGGACAGGATAGTTTTTACATCTGACTTCCTCAATGGGAAAAAAAACTACGAGGATGCCATGTATAAGATTAATATGACCTTCTGATTCCCATGAAAATGAATGTTAACTCCTTGGCTCACCCTGAAGGTACATCAGATCAAACCACTAAGGCTTCTACGTCAGACTGTTTAGTAAAATAATGTGACTGCAACAGTTCCTAGTCCTACGATGAACAGAATCTCCAGGTTAGACATTGTGAATTCCACTGGGTAGTGTAACAAAGCAAAGAGTAAATAAATAATACAGGTCTAATTCTTATCCTTCAACACAACCGACTGGCAAAATATGTGTGCTCTTTTAGGTATGACTGACAGGGACACTATATAATATATAATATATATATATATTATATTATAATTAAACAGGAGCTTCAGGGAGTAACTGATCTCACTTAGGGCTTTTCCCACCATGGACAGGCTATATTTGTATAATCTCCAATCTTTCTTTATCATGTATACTATATATTTGAGCTGCAGTTCTTTGCACTCTCATGAAATATGGAAATATAATGCTTATTCTGCTTGTGACTTATATTTTATTTCTGAAAAGTTGTGGTTATTACTCTGAGACAAACATGCAAAGCAAGCTAGGTAGCTTGTAAAATCAGAGAGTTTAAAATCCACCAGAGATGAGGATGGAAACACATTTAAATAAACTGAACTCTGAAAAGTTACAAGTCCTTCATCGTAAAAGACACCCACTGAGCAGCAAATGCTGTGTTCAGTGTCTTCTGAAGGACCAAGGCATCTGCCCTCTGAAGGCCAGGATGATCTTTCTTCTCTCAAAGAGCTGGGAAGTAAACAAAACTATCCCATAGGGCCTCCTGGGACACAGGAAATGGTTTATGTCTTGACTTTTATGTGACATGGAGGATGCCACTGTAAACTCACTGAAATGAGCATGTCAGAACTGTGTGTTCAAGGGATGCCTCAAATGAACTTAAAATAAGGAGAGAGAGGAATCTTGTGTAAGGAGCAAATATCAAGCAATTCATTCAGTCATCTCTCGGGGATACTGATGTTGGATTTTGACACTGGGGCTAGAAGCTGGAAGGCATCAGATCCCATCTCATTCAGATATACTGTGCCACCAGCTCCAGCTCCTTTCAAAGCCTTTCTTCAGTGACCATGTAAAGAATTTGTTTGCAGGGGAAAGAGAAATAACCAGCAAAGTATCAATAGGAAAGGTGGCAGAGACGATGATAAAATAATTCCAGCAATAAATGAAAACACTGCAAACACTGCCTTATCCTCAGGGAAGCGTGCCTGGCAGTTCCCATCTCAAGGCTGAAATGCCCCTCTTCCTTGCTCCTTCCCCTGAATCATGCCCACTGCACAGCAGGACAGCTTGTCTTCATGCCAATGAGGAGGAAAGGGAGAGGCTTTACCTCCTCTAACACCTGGAACCATGGGAGAGGAAGATTCACAGGCTAGGGGCCGCATGTCATCTTTATTGCACCTTCTCTCATACCCTTAGTTACAGACCAAAGGGAAAGAAGGCAATTCAGTCCTGATGACCCTGTGTCTCAGGAGAAGTCCAGGAAAGCAGAGCCAGCATGTCGCAGCACACAGAACTTGTGCCTCTCAGAAGTAATGGCTTCTGATTCTTGTCCACTAATCATCACGGTTACTGAGGGGACACAGGCCAGTGGGGATCAGAATATCTGAGGACAGGGACACTGGCTACAAGCAGCTGCTCTGCCCAGGGCTGGCTAGCTGCTGAATTGGCCCCTTGGGGTACCCGTGAGGCTAAGAAGCAATGTGAAGTCGAATGTCTTTAAAATTTTTATTTCAAATGAACTTAGGGTTTTATTGGCTTCTTTTTAAAGCACAAAAAGACTTTTAACTAAAATTCTTTAAAACCTAGAAGGAAGCATTTCCTCCTCTATTTTTAGGCAAGTTCTTTTGGGTTAGCTGGCAAAGAAACTAAAATTTGAATTCTTCTATAGTGATTTTCAACATGTAGAGATATTCTTACACATAAACACACACATACACAGACACACACACATTCACACACATCCATACACAGTATGAAACACAGAGAAGACATAAGGTTTGAAAAAAAGTCAGAGAAAATTCTCGAGGTAAGGGATGAAGTCAAGAAAGCCCGAGAATACAAAAACAAGAGAGAAACAGCATCATGTGAGAACCGCCCAGGAAGGACACAAACAGCATCTCTGAAAGGGATGCTGTGGGCACCGTCTACACAATATCTGCAGAAGTGTTCTGGTCTCCTGAGAGATGGGCACTCTCTCAATACAAGGTATTCTGTTTTCCTTCTTTGTAACTGGGAGATTGATATTCTTTGGTCGGCGTCCATATTTGGCAAGCAAGGGACAATCAGAAGCCTGAGGCAGCACTTTCCCCAGTTTCTCCAGCATAAAAGTTTTCTTCCAGCATGTGACCTTCCATGCAAAACAGCTCATTTTTAAAACTTAGTTCCAGGGCCTTCAAGGTCCCTGGTTACAAGCCATGGGAAAGGACACCATGTGATGGAGACGCAGTCCTTTCTAAGTAATGGGGCAATGTCCTGCTGCCATCACCCTTAGTGAAGGGAGGGCAGTACCCTTTGGTCAGCCAGACAAATGCCTAGCAAGGCCAGAATCGGACAACATTAGTTCTTGTCTTCCAACATTCTCATTGCTCCTGTAGAAATGTTTCAAGGTCACAACACATCGGATCTGTCTAGCATTAGGTTCTTTAAAAAGGTTTAAAAATAATGTTATGAGTAAAGACTGGTTTCACATCTCTTTAAAAGGATGAAACGCTAACTACGGCGATGACAGGTATTCTTTTCTTTCCCTCTATGGGCAATGACGATCAACATTGATAAATGGAGACCACAGAGCACAATGCATAAACTACACACTGTGTGGATAGCTGAGATATTAAGTCACTTACCACGTCAGTAGAATAAACTGTTGGCAGGTCCTCTGGGGCTAGTGTGGTATCGTTAGATACTGAGAGGTTAACTGTAAGAAAAGGACAATTTTTGACTGTGAAAAATAAAACAGAAACAAACTAAATGCATAATGACCTTTAAAACACAGAATAGGACATTAAAAATTCTGAAGCAACATACAAGCACCATGAAATTGTATATAGTGCAACCATATCCTTCTTACACTAAAATAAAGACTGAAGCAGATTTGTATGGCAGATATGTAAGAGTTGATATTAAATTTTGTTTCCATTCTTTTTAATCAACCACATACTAGTGTTTTACTGGTTTATCTTAGAGGAAAATGAAAAGTTAAAAAAAATCTACTTGAGAAGAACTGATATTATCCAAAACTCGGGAGCAGTTACTAAAAGTTTAGCATCTTATGTTGCTATCTTTACTATCTATAATTCTGTTTCAAGTACACATTCAGTATACATTTGTTTAATGAAAGAAATGCCTACCTATTATTACTGAAAGAAATGCCTAACTATTATTATGCCGATTACCAGCTTCATGTACAGTAAAAATCTCACACTTTGGAACTTTACTAGTTAAGCATTAGTAATTTGTAGTGTTTAGAAAATTGAACTGTGTGTGATAAAGTCTATCTTTGCAAAATGTGTGAAAAAGCACTAAACAAATAATATTAATATAATGAGGAGAAATATATAAACAAACTTTGAAACTTATTTTCATATAACATGGCATCATTTGTAGATTTAAGATGCACCTTGCTGAAGAATTTCTTCATTAAACCAACCTTTACTATGGAAACATTTCACTAGTTATTTTATTTCATGTGTCTGAAAATTAAAATATTTCATTTTTTATCAGATAGACTCTTTTCCACTGATAGGAAGATTTGCATTTTAAACTGTTATACAGAGAACATAATTAATGGCAATATGAAACAACATCCCTTAAGCTTTTCTCTGAAAATAATATCATTTATGCAACATTTGATTTGAAAATTGTTCTTTGGTTTCTCCCCCATCCAGTCAAACTTCAAACTCCTTTTAGCTCTGTGGGTTCTGGATCTTGCCTATATAACCCTTGAAGGAGAAATGCATGACTGTGCTTGATGATTGAACTATAAAAGAGGAGATCCATGAGAAGGGCAAAAAGAACACAGACTCACTACTCTCCCCTAGAGTCTACTCAGCCTGAGTCTCAACTCACAGGCCCTCAAATTATTTACCCACAGTCAGCTAACAACACTGGGGAAGGGGTGTTTCCCCTGAGAATAAATACAGAAAAAGGAAATGGACCTGGGTCCTAGTTCTAGGTGAACATGAAAATCTATTCTGGTCACCGAAGTCTGGGCATTGTGAGAGTATTGGCCAGAAGGTACTGCCTACCACAGCCTCGCTAACCTGTGCACATGGTATGCTTTCCTATTCTGTTTCATTGCAAATCCAAGAGAGTCAAAAAGGCTAAATCCTTGACCCAAGCAACAAGATAAGATTCCTCTAAAAAAAGTAAAGTATTATTAGTTTTTCAGTAGTATTTTGTTCTGTAAAAAAGAACATACAGTGTATTTTCTTATAGTATTCCATTTGTTCATATAAAAACATGGGATGTCTAAAGAGTTATCACAGTTGTTAGAGTGTCTGTCTAGAAACCACAGGGCCCTGGGTTTCAACCTCAGTCTAGTTGAAGAACCAAGTGGGCAGGGAAGATCAGAGGTAGACAATCAGCAGTCCCAGGTCATCCTGGGCTATGCAGCAAACGTGAAGCCCATCTGGGCTACATTAGACTCTCTTTCAAAAATAGGTAGTAAATAAATCAATCAATCATCCTAGAACACATCACAGGTAAACTTTCCTGTATGGCCTAAGAATTGGACAAGACTCTGAAATAAACCATGACTTCTCCAAGTCTGTAATGAGAAGCACCATCTGGGTTCAGACCTTATTAAATTCCATACTCTTCCTTCTCTACCAGCATTCCTATTCATCAAGCTCCAGAAGATGACGTTTATGGACCAAGAATTCAACGTGGGACAGTCCTCACTAATAAGTCAGCATCCATGAACTCACAGTTCCAACTCTGCCAGGCTGCTCTTCCTCAGCTAGCTTTTCAATGCAACTTCCACAGCCTCCTAAACTTCTCTGTATTCTAAGCATGGCTAAACAGCTGGGGAAGGTATTCAAGACTCTAAGTCTGTGAAATAATTATAGATGATACAGACATTAAAACAAGAGTCTAAACTCTTAGGAACTGCTCCCAAGTTTTGGAAATGTATCAATTCCACTCAGTTCTATTTCTTTACATTTTCAGTGTTCATCTAAGATAAACTAGTAAAGTACACTGGCCCTAAAAATCCCAGAAGAGCAGTATCTCAAAAACAGGAAGAAGTACATAATACTTTCTCTGCCTATTTTACTACACACACACACACACACACACACACACACACACACACACACACACACACACGCACACACACACACACACATATGCACTTCTATAAATACATATTGGCAGGGTTTGGTAGAATCCATAAATGAGATTAAAAGTAAATTTCTTTAGGCTCACTGATGAGAAAATGATCGATTACAGCTGGGCTCTTGATCTACAAGGGCCATTGGGCACCATTTAGATCCAGACAGAGTATAAACACTTTGGCAACCTATTGCAGACTGATCCATTTATAAGGCATCTGCAATATCCTTAATTAGGATTCTGGAAAGGTCAAAAGGAAAATCCCAGACACACTGCACTCTGTCTTCACTTTCAGCTCAGCTTCAAGGCTCAGGGAAAAAAAAGGTGCAACTCTGCTTAAACAATGCGGCTAATTTAGATCCAGCCAATCATCACCAGGACGGTCTATTCTATGCATCCCCACAGGTTTGCTGTTTTCCATTATTTGGATTTTCACTTTCTTGGTCCTCCTTCTTACATATCAGCATTTAGCTGATCCTCTGGAAGAGTGGAATGCATGCTGTCAGAAATAGGTATTTTTAATGTGTGTCTGTCACTTTTCAATCTCAAGCCAGCCAGCCTTTCTTTCTTAGTGCTTATGGAGAGGTCTAGAAAATGAACCAGGAGATAGAGTGGCTTCAGCTGCAGGAGATAAGAGCAGGTGGGGACATGTGTCAGTGTTGGCACACTTCCTATATAAAGCAACCCTCTTTATTCTCCACAGACCTGATGCCAAGGCTCCGCATGGCCCTTCTTTATAGACTAGCAGGAATGATAGCAACGGGAAGATGGGCAAGCTCACTTGAGGCCATGCAGTCAACTGGGAGCAACACCTGGTTATTGCAGGCAGACCTGGCTACAGTGCAACGCAAAATCACAAGCACAGAGGAGCACAGTAGTCCTGGCCTAAATTTTGACTGTGCCACATTTTGAACACAGGGCTCTAAAACTCCTTCCATTAGGCCTGGTCTTGAAGAAGTTACTTCATTATTCCAAGCTACAGATCCTTCATTTGTGGAGCTGGATTTGAATCTCATTACCCCATAAGATGACAGAGCAGAAAAATGATGCACTAGAGGCAAAACCATCAGCACAATGCCAGTTTCAGGTCACAGCTAAGTAAATGGTGCAAGATTACTACTAACTCAATAACCTGGAGAAAGCAGAGCTTGACCTGGGGTTGGGGGTGGACGATGTCAGCTACTTCTCAAAGGTTTTTGTGATGATTAAATCTACAGATATTGTGCTATTAAAACAGGTTTACTGAAATCCCCTGGTAAATGTCTTCCATTTGGACGATGATGACTAAATATCATACTAACCCGAATCTGTATCACAACAGCTTGTTGTGGCTACACTAACCCGGAGCTGAAAACAGGGAGAACCTTAAAGTTACTCTATAATTATCAGACGTCAATGGTGTATTCCACTCTAGGCACTGCCTGAAGGAAATCAAGCAAGTGGGAAACAGATATAAGATAAAACCAGATCTCCTTGCTCCAGGAGCAAGTCATTGATTCCAGGAGGGTCCTGGAAAACTTGATTATACCACCTCTCGATACAGCTGAGTCTATGCTTTAAATGTCTAAGTCAACAGAAGAACAAAAACAGGCTTTGTAGGTAACGGCAAAGCCAATCAGGATAATTCTGTGAGAAAGTGCTATGGGTTACCACTCTATCAGCATTAAGTCTAACAACCAAGTTCTATTAGCTTTTTAAACTTTTTGGTTATTATTGTTTTCATTTTCCTAAGTACTTTTTACTAAACCCAATGCTTGAGATTTCCTGTGACTAGCAAGTTAGTCTGTCTTCAGCCACAGACATTCTGCCCACAAGTTGACCTGAAATGCTGGGCTGGTTGTTAAAGAGAGGAGCTATAGTGGATATACAAGTGGAATATGTTTAGTCGCTATTTCCACAAAAACATCTCCTCCATTATCAGGTTCCCAAGGTGCTGAAGACATGGTTCCAAGGAAAGTTGTCCACATACATGTTTTATAGAAATGCAGAGCTAGAGAGTATTTCCAGGTCTGGTGATAATCCAGATCCATTCCTTCCCCATTTCCAGTCTCTACAAGCGTCATTGGGGAGCTGCTGAAATATAGGTTAGGACAGTGAAAGCAGACTGAAGTGATGAGTGTTTCAGGCATGTGTGGCTTTCTCAAGAGCCACCGTAATCATGAATGACAAGACATCAACTGTGCCAAATGAAGGACAGTCTCCAGGGCAAGCATGAGAAACAGTCCTTCGCAACTTAGACTTTCAAGTTTTGCTATTACTTTATGATTTAAACTGACTTCATAAAAAAATGGAATGACCTACTATAAAAGGGAAATTGCATTTATTATGGCACCATTCATAAAAGATAAGTTAGGACCATGCTTCATTTCCTCATTTTCTATAACTGGGCTTTTGAATTATGAAACACATATTGACTACCCCATCGGGCCACAGGATTCACATTGAGCCCAGTAGTTCTTTTCCATGGTGGTAACTTGTTATCATGGTATCTGTCTGGTAGGCTAAGAGAAAAACTATGTACAAAGAAATGATCATGAAATTCTATCTCCAGAGCATTCAGGTGTCTCTCCATGCTTAACTAAA